AGAATTAAAATAGAATAGAATAGAAGATGAAATGAAATATAGAAATAGAATAGAGTAAAATCGAACAGAATAGAATAGACTAGGAAATAGAATAGAAAATATAGAATTAAAATAGAATAGAATAGAAGATGAAATGAAATATAGAAATAGAATAGAGTAAAATCGAACAGAATAGAATAGACTAGGAAATAGAATAGAAAATATAGAATTAAAATAGAATAGAATAGAAGATGAAATGAAATATAGAAATAGAATAGAGTAAAATCGAACAGAATAGAATAGACTAGGAAATAGAATAGAAAATATAGAATTAAAATAGAATAGAATGGAAAATGAAATGAAATATAGAAATAGAATAGAATAAAATAGAATAGAATAACAGAGTTGGAGGGGAGGTCCTCTAGATCAACCTCCTGCTGAGTAGAATAGAATAGAATACGAAATAGAATAGAAAATATAGAATTACAATAGAATAGAAAAGAATAGAAAATAAAATATAGAAATAGAATAGAGTAGAATATCAGAGTTGGAAGGGCCCTTGGAGGTCCTCTAGTCCAACCCCCTGCTCAGGCTTGGGAAGAGAGGAAAGGGCCCTAACCCCAAAGCAAGGCAGGAGAAGGAAATCCCCACCAGGGAACGCTTCAGTATCTCTCCTTGTTTCCTTCTCAGGGCCCTCCCAGCCGGCGGGCGGGCAGCTCAGGGCCCGGTCGTGAGAAGTCCCATGCTCCTGGGAAGACGGGGAAGAAGCTCTCCGGTTCGCTGCCCTCCAACTCGCGCAGCAGCAGCAGCAGCCGGGGAGGAAGCGTGTGGCGATAGCGTCTTGGCGACTGGACCGTTTCTCTCCGTTTCCCCCTTTCCTTTCCCTGTTTTATCTACTGGATCGACGCAGGTGGAGGCCGGCAGCGGCTTTGCTGCCTACTGCATCTAGGAATCGAAAATACGCAAGTCCGTGTCGTTTTTAAGCCTTCGTTCTGGCAGAGTCAGAAACGGGAGCGACAGCCGCGGGATCCGTTTCCGGATAACAGAGAAAAGGCACCGGATCCTTGCGAGACCCACTTCTCGCGATCTCAGAATCTCATCCATCGGGATTTCTCATTCCTGAGGTCCATCTCTGCAGTCCCTTTGCAGAAGGAGTCCAGTCGCTTCTCCTACAGCGGAAGTTTCCAAAAGTGGTCACTTTAAGACTTCTTGCGGACTTCAACTCCCAGAATTCCCCAGCCAGCTCTTTTTCCCCTCCCACTTTGCTGAAATCAAGATACATTACGTCGACCCGCATACCCGCTATTAAGAAAATTATCCCATCCCCTCCAAAAAAACGGCAATAAAGGGTAATTTAGCCACATTCGTTTCTTATTCATGCTGAATTCTGGTATAATGGCTGTCTGGGGAATTCTGGGAGTTGAAGTCCAGAAGTCTTAAATTTGCTTAAGTTTGGAGTCTTCTGTTGCCACGCCCGAGCCCAAGGAAGATGCTTTCTTAGTGTCAAGTTACAGGATGCATTTGCAACCTTCTCCGTAACCAACCTCGCGTTTCCTTCCCGGCTTCTTATTTCAAGCACGTCCCAACCCTGGTTTGCCGTGTTCTAGGAACGCCCAGCTTGGTTTATACGTTTGCTCTTTTTTTGCAGAGTTCATTATTTTTGTAAAAAGGTTATTTTCTAAATAAATGGCATTGTAAGTTGTTTTTAAGCAAAGGGCAACTCCCATTCCTCTTCTTTGTCTCTGGCATTCAGAGGTCGTATTCAGCCGGTTCAAACCGGTTCGGGCGATTTCGGTAGCAGCAACCTGCGGGCGAGGTCCCCGCCACCTGCCCCAGCTCCATGACGTTCTATCTTGCCTCGTTTCGGATGGCGCGCATGCGTGTACGACCCGTGTGCGAGGCCAAGCACATACACTCACATTTTCGATTT